GGTCAGGTACACCTTAGTTCTCAAAGTGACATCTTTGCTTTTTAACACTCCAAAGAGGTCTTTTGCAGCAGATTTGCCCAATGCAATGCATCGTTTGGTTTCCTGACTGCTGTTTCCTGGGTGTTGGTTGTGGATCCAAGTAAAATGAAATCCTTGACAACTGTAATCTTTTCTCTGTTTATCATGTTGTTGCTTATTGGTCCAATTGTGAGGATTTTTGTTTTCTGTATGGTGAGGTATAATCCAAAGCCTAGTCTAGTGTTCTCCATTTTCTGCAGCCTGGAAATTTGGTTGTTTTCTAAAGATTCAGGGAGCTACATTCCATCTGCTGTCGTCATAGGGCCACTTCTGAGCTGCTTGTCCATGTTTTTGGGAATTGGATTTCTGCTTTTTTGATTGGGCTCAGCTGATTAAATAGGCGCTAGAGGTTAAAAAAAAAAAAAAGTTTTCAGAAATTGACATAATTTCTGTATTTCTAGATCTTTTTATTCTAAATGTATCTTCTCAGCTTACTGTGGCCAAAAGTAAGGAAACCCTGTGGGGCAGTTCTACTCTGTCTTATAGGGTAGCTATGGGTTGGAATCGACTTGATGGCAACGGGTTAAAAGTTTTTTAGTAAACTGGAAGAGTTGTGCCATTCTTACCACAGTCAAGTTTTACAACATATCTAATACCACAAAAAGATCCCTCGTGTGCTCACTAATGTTTTAGATTGCACTGTGGTTTAAGGTTTACTATGTTTTCACTGAATAACATTAGAGTAATTCCTACTTTTTTTTTATATTGAGATATAATTTACTTACCATAAAATTCATCCTTTTAAGGTATACAATTCAGTGAGTTTTAATATATTCACAAGGTCACGTAATCATCACTACTATCTAATTCCCAAATATTTTCATCACCTCAAAAAAGAAACCCCATACCAGTTAGGAGTCACTCCCTATTCTCCCCTCTCCACAGCCCCTGACAACCACTAATTTACTTTCTGTCGCTATGGATTTGCCTATTCTGGAATTTACTATAAATGGAATCAGACCATCTGTGACCTTTTATGCCCATTTATTTTTCACTTAGCATTATGTTTTCAGGGTTCATCCATCCTGTGGCATGTATCAGTATTTCATTCTTTTTTACGGCTGAGTAATATTCCATTGTATGGATATACCGCATTTTGTTTATTCATTCATCAGTTGACAGATATTTGGGTTGTTTCGACTTTTTAGCTATCGTGAATAGTGCTGCTACAAACATTCATGTACAGGATTTTGCATGAGTATGTGTTTTCACTGCTGGGTTTTACGTTTTATAATAAATTATACTTTTTTTAAAGTAAATACTTAGTGATTTTTTTGCTTTTTCTAAGAATGTGCCTGCTCACATGCTTATTGCCACAAGGCTGACCGTATAGATTTTCAACCTTTTTTTAAAGAAATGGGTGGGTTTTTTTTCTTCCTTCTAGTAACTTTCATTTCCCACCTCCCAAAGACCAAACACTCCCCACTTAATCAGCTCACCACCCCGTCTTTGTTTCTCACTTCCCCGATTTGTTCCTCATATCCTGCCATTCAGCAGATGGTAAGCATTGCGCCTTCTCTCTTCCCCTAGGCATTGCTGGTCTTTTTCTGGCTTCTCATAATCTCTTCTCTTTTTTCCCTTTTTCTTTTTTATTTTACCCAAAGCTAGAATTATAGAGGGATGAAGGTAGACCTAACCTTGCTTGGTCAGAAGGAAACTGTAATATTTTCTTTTCCACACATTAAATCCACTCCCTCCTGCATTTTATGGTCCAGGAGTAGACTTGGGCCAAAAGACTTCCATTGCCCTTCTGCTTCAGACAAACCACTTTATTTCACTTCCCCAGGCACTGGTGAGCTTGTCTTTGAACCCAGTTAAACTTAGCAATAACTTTGGAGAGCTGCAGAAAGTACAAATAGAAGAGAGGCGTTGTGCAGACCTTTTTAAAAGAAATGACTGAAGAGCACCCTCGAAGGAAGAAGCTCCTAAGACTCACGTGTAATTATCACACTTCAGCATGGATGTTCAGCCCCACATGAACTAATAATAAAAATGCCTTCTCTTTTTACTCCAGACTTCCTGGAGCCGTGAAGGTTTGATGAACCTCGAAACCATTGCCCTGAGATAATCTTTAAACCTTAAACCAAAACTATCCCCTGAAGTCTTCTTAAAACCAAACAATAGTTTAGCTTCACTAGTAAAAAAATATCTGCCTTGAGCGTTACGCTCTTTTAAGAACTGTCTATATGGGATCAAATTGACAACCAAACCCCCTGCCTTCGAGTCGATTCTGACTCATAGAGAACCCATAGGGTTTCCAAGGCTGGAAATCTCTACGGAAGCAGACTGCCACATCTTTTTCCTGTGGAGCCTCTGGTAGTTTTGAACCACCCACCCTTTGGTTAGCAGTCAATCACTGTAACCACTGCGCCACCAGCGCTCCTTAAGTTGACAATAGAAACTCAACCCATAAGATTAGATAGAAACCTTAGGGGCAGTAAATTTATGTTAATGGGGGAAGAACAACTCAGAAAGGGAGGGTGAGAATGGTTGCAAGACTCTAAGCGTGTAATCAAATGGTACATGGAGGAACTGCTGAATTGGTGTGTGTTTTGCTGTGTATATTCTCAACAACAACAAAATAAATACAAAGAATGTTAAATGCCTTCCATTTTTAGAGCCTTGTCATTTTTCATTTCCATTTTAACAACCCTCACAAGGCAGTATCAGGGAACAAACAATCGCGTTTCCCTTCTCCAGCCATTTCCCAAGTCCTCCTCTGCCTGGAGGACATCCTTCTGTCCCTCTGCCACCATATCATGTCCTTTGCTGGGGGTCATAAAGCTCCTTCACCCGTATTGGCTTCCTGGGTCTGCTGTAGCAAAATACCACAAACTGTGTGACTTATAGGAACAGAAATTTATGGTCTCACAGTTCTGCCGGCTGGGAGTCTGAGATGAGGGTGTCGGCCGTACAGGTTCTTTCTGAGGCGTCTCTGCCAACTCTGCTAGCTCCAGGCATGCAGCATCATGTGGCGTCCCTCTTCTCTCTGTCTCTTTGTGTCTCTTCTCTTTTATAGAACACCACACAGATTAGAACCCACCCTACTCCAGTCTGACCTCAGGTTAACCTGCGAACATCTTCAGAGACCCTGTTTCCAAACAAGGTCACGTTCACAGGTACCAGGGGTTAGGACTTAAACGTATCTTTTTGGGGGACACAATTAAATCCCGTAATAACCCCCCAAAAAACAAAAAAAATTCCAATTTCTTCTACACCTGTCTTTAACTCTCACCCTCCCATGTAATCCTCCTACCCTCACTTTTGTGGGTCTGTATAACATTTGTTTTCCTGCCCTATACCACTTATTAGAATTTAAGAGAGGGAGTTAGAATATTTTTTAAAAGAATTAAACAGTAAATTCCAAAGTAGATAACAACTCAGTGAGTCCCAACCTCTGAACCTGTTTATTAAACTGAACGACTGGGCCCAGCCATCAGAGTTTTCTCAGACTGGCAGAGGGACCTGGCTAAGATCACATAGGAGAGGGTCGCAGACTTAAAATCATAATCCAGGATTCCTTGTTTGCTTTCTAGTTCTCACTCGTTTGTATTGTTTGGATGAAATTCTGTTGAGCCGTGTGTGTGAGTGAGTGTGTGTGTGTGTGTGTGTGTGTGTGTGTGTGTGTTTAATTAACTCTGTATCTGGGTTTGTCTGTATAAGTTTCCTTATTTTATAACTGACTCCGTAAACATAACCATCTTAGTCATCTAGTGCTGCTCTAACAGAAATACCACAAGCGGATGCCATTAACAAAGAGAAGTTTATTCTCTTACAGTCTGGTAGGCTACAAGTCCAAATTCAGGGCGTCAGCTCCAGGGGAACGCTTTCTCCCTGTCGGCCCTGGAGGAAGGTCTGTGGCGTCAACCTTCCCTTGGTCCATGAGCATCTCAGCGCAGGAACCTCAGGTCCCAAGTACACGCTCTGCTCCCAGCACTGCTTTCTTGGTGGTGTGAGGTCCCCGTGTCTCTCTGCTTCTTTCTCTCTTTTATATCTCAAAAGAGATTGGCTTAAGACACTAATCTTGTAGATCTCATGAATATAACTGCTGCTAATCCATCTTATTACATCATAGCAATAGGATTTACAACACAGGAAAATCACATCAAAGGACAAAATGGTAGACAATCATACAGTACTGGGAATGACAGATATTTTGGGGGACACAAGTCAATCCATGACAATAACTCTGTTTCCAAAGGATGCAGAGATTCTCAAGCTGATAAAAGCAACCTAAATACTGTCTCACCTCCTCCGCGCGGTGTTGACGGAGAGACTGAGATGCCAGCTGTGGCAATAGATTCTTTATTCCACAAGCTCTGCTAATTTCCCTCATTTTGGTCCTGCCCTACCCAGAGCCCCAGCCTGCCCCTCTGTGCCGGCTCTCACTTCTCCGCAGGCCTTATTTCCACCTGACTTCCCACCCTCATGCCCACTGTTCCAAGAGGAAGCGCGCGCCTCCCGCCTCCAGCGCGCACCTGCCTGCGCTCAGGGCTCAGGTGCGCAGGGCCTGGCGGAGGGGCCTCTGCTGTGGGAACACTTCCCTCCTCGCTCAGCTGCTCCCACTGGGACCCCAGCAGTGGGGGCAGTGGGTGGGCTTCCCAGGCAGGCCACCCCTCCTGCGTCAAAACCCACAGGCCTGTACAACCCAGAGAGCAAACTCTAATGTAGACTGTGGACCTTGGTTAATAGTAACGGGTCAGTGTTGTTCATCCCGTGACATGTGTCCCACAGGAAGTGAAGACGTTGGTGGTGGCAGGAACTGCACGGGGGCGTGGGAGTGTACCAGAACTCAGCACTTTCCGCCCAGTGTTTCTGTAAACCTAAAACTGCTCTAAAAAATAAAATGTACTAAGAAATTTTTTTTTTTTTTGGTTTTAATGTGTTGCTTACTGACAGCTTCTTCTCCGCCTTTCTTGCAGCCCTTGAAAGGAAAATATCCATGAGGCAAAGCCGAGAGGAGCTGATAAAGCGAGGGGTCTTGAAGGAGATCTATGATAAAGGTAAGAGGGGCTGGTCCACCCCCCAAGGGCCAGAAGCAGTGTCGTGTAACCTGGGTGCGCATGTCTCTGCGTGCAATTCGGTTTTCTGTATCAATTTGTTATCAGGACTTAAAACTCCACACACTTCTGGAGAGAAAAAGAGCATGGCACCTCGTTCAGATGGTGCCAGAGCTCTCAGCGTCCTGCTCAAACCAGTTGGCGTGGAGTTGATTCCGAGGCATGGTGGCCCCATGTGTGTCAGAGCAGAGCTGTGCTTCCTAAGTTCTCTAGCTGTAGAAAGTAGCGTGGAATAGTACAGCTCTGCACCCCACCTCCAGGCGTCCTTGCCATTAGGGCGGGTAAGAGCTGTGCCACTTCCTGCTTGCATTTCCGGTTGACAGTTTGTGCTAAAAGAACATGCTTCGAAATCTGAATGGCAGCAGGAAGCCCCATGACAGGAAGGAACGAGGTGAAAGGAGCCAGAGCAGCGAGGATCCACGAAAACCAGGGGACCGAAGAGAAGGGTGGGGAGTGAGAAACACAGCTTGCTTCCCGTGTCAGAACTCAAGCTGAGCGGGCAGAAGACTGGCCAAAAGTGGCAGACTGACTGCACTGTCAGAACGATAAGGATTACATTGACTATCAGGGATGGATCTTTAACTGGAATATCTGATTTAATCATCTGGCCCGCCAGATCGCACCAGTCCCAAACGATAAGAAGACCCGAAACGGACAATTACTATTGATGACTGTAACTTGATTGCAAGTGACAATCTCTTATTTCATTTACAGCACCAACAGGGAGTATGGTCCTCAGAGGGCAGAGAGAGAGAACAAGCAAGCACGAGCTCAGTTCAGAATAGCGAAGCTCTTAGAAAAGAGAAGTGAAGAATGCTTAACGTATAAAGCACCGCATGTATTCAGCTTTAAAGATAGTAATTCAATAAGCAAAGCACACGATTATTTACTAGCAAACAGCTGTGGACACATGAGCAGATCATCTGAATCACTGTAAATATTATCATTTAAAAGATCTTATGTGTACAGTTGTGTTTTATAATTTTCTCCAATTTCTTATGTTGTGGGGAGACAGACTGCAAAGAAAAAAAAAAATCTGAGGAGGAAGTTCTCGATGCTGGTGGATTTTTAACATTTGTCTTGGGAACGCCTAGTGTCTGAGTGCCTAAGCAATAAATTCACCCCAGCTGTGCGGGTTTGAACATGAGCAGACTCCCAGGCAGTACCTGCATAGTTCCCAGAGCCACATCAGTTTTCCTAGCGTCAAGTGGTTTGATACTAATACTGAAAAAAAAGGGCGCTTTATTGCTTTCCTCTAATAGGTTGCTTGGGAGTGGGTGGGTGGTGCCAGTGGTTAATGAACTCAGCTGCTAACCGAGAGCCTGGCTGTTCGAGTGTACCCAGCGGCACCTCGGAAGAAAGGCCTGGAGAGCTACTTCCCCCAAATCAGCCACTGAAAACCCTGTGGAGCACAGTTCTACTCTAACACACATAGGGTCACCAGGAGTCGGAGTCGACTCAAAAACAATGGGTTGTTCAGTTGTCCACTGGTAGAATTCTCGCCTTCCACGCAGGAGACCCAGGTTCAATTCCCAGCCAAGGCACCGCAGGCACAGCCACCAGCCATCGGTCACTGGTGGCTTGTGTGTTGCTATGATGGTGAACAGGCTTCAGCGGAGCTTCCAGACTAAGGCGGACTAGGCGGAGAGACCTGACAATGTATTTCTGAAAAATCAGCCAATGGAAACACTGTGGATCACAGCGATCCCATCCTGTCGTGTATGGGGTCACTATAATTCGAGGCCAGCTTGATGGCAGCTAACAACAGCATAGTTATGAGAGCTGTCTCAGGCCGAGGAATCTTTCTGATGAGCCACTTTGTCCTTCTACTCCTGAGTAAGGCCACACCGGAATACAACTCAGTTGGTTAAGCTAAAAGATCCCTAATTTTGTCACTTCTCCAATGTCTTGCTTTTCTGTTTAATCTCCCAAGCCCTCCCTGGTATCGAACTTAAATCCTCATGCTTCGTCCTAAGCTCCCTCTCCATATCACCTCCAGTAGAGATAGAAGATTGTTGACTCCAGGTATAATATTATATGACAAGCATCCAGGTACTTAAATAAATGTTACTGTCACCGCTAAAGCCTGTTCAGATCCAGTTAAATAATCCCTTCCTCTCTTTCTTCTTGCAATCTTTATGTCTCTTGCTGTAAAATTTCAATGATACTCTAAAGTATAGAATGGATTTTACTATAACCAGTTATCATCAAATTGATTCTGACTCCTGTCAACCCCATGTGTGTCAAAGGAGATACTTCATAGGATTTCTGTGACTGATTTTTTGGAAGCAGGTCACCAGGCCTCTCTTCTGAAGTGCCTCTCTGGACTCGAACCTCCAGCTCTTCAGTTAGCAGCCACGCACGTCAGCTATTTGTATCACGCAGGGACTCCATTACACTTAACAGCTGGGTTAAGCGAAGCATTGCCTGAGTGACGTTCTGACTTAATGGAAGAAATCATAGACTCTTAGAGTCTCATTTATAGGAAAAGAAATAGAGGACCATTCATTGTGGCTTGTGTTGGCCAGAGCCTCGCAGGCAGATAGGAGTTCCCGCGAGCGAGGCTGGGCCTGGTGCACCGTGTTCGTCTGCGGCGAGCACAGTGCCGGACCCAGAGCATGCCCGCAGTCCGTGGTGGTGGAGGGAAGGACAAGCCTGACCCTCGCCTGTCGCTTGTCACCACAACATCCTGCTTTATGTTTGACTTCATACCTTCCGCTGTCTGCTGTCTTCTGTGTTTGCAGGTAGACTTTCCTTACAGGAGCCCTGGTGGCGCAGTGGTCAAAGCGATCGACTGCTAACCGAAAGGTCCGATACCACCAGCAGCTCTGTGGGAGAAAGACACGGCATTCTGCTTCCACAGAGACTTGCAGCCTCGGAATCGACTTGACAGCAGTGGGTTTGAATTTAGTTTCAGTGACTTTCCTAACTAGCATGCGAGTTCCAGGAGAACAGGGGCCTCATAGGCTTCCTGCTAGGTCCCCCAAGCCTAGAAGAATGTCTAATACAGATTGTTGTTGTTGGTAATTGCTGTCAAGTCAGCTCTCACTCATGACAACCCCACGTACAACAGACCAAAGGTTGCCTGGCCCTGAGGCCATCCTCATACTTGTTGGTGTGCTCAAGCCCATTGTTGCAGCCAGTGGGTATTTTGAGTGCCTTCCACCCGAGGAGGCTCATCTTGCAGCAGTGTATTGGATAATATTCTGTTGTGATCCATAGGGTTTTCATTGGCTAGTTTTCTGAAGTAAATTGCCAGGCCTTTCTTCCTAATCTGTCACAGTCTGGAAGCTCTGCTGAAACCTCTCCCCTATAGGTGACTCTCCTGGTATTTGAAATACCTGTGGCTTCGCTTCCAGCATCATAGCAACACACCAGCCACCACCGTAGACAAACTGATCCGTGGGTGGCGGTGACATACATCAGGCTGTCAAAAGTATGCACTGTTGGTACGACGGGAAGAGGAAAGGAAGAGACGGCCCGAGATTAGAAATCCAGTGCAAATAGTAGGTGTGTAGGTTTGTGGTTTCTGTGTGTTTTCTGATAAAAGTATCCATTTTATAACAGAGTGGGTGTTAATCAATACATTGCATCGCATTGTATTATATTACATGGACACTGGGATCAGATTGCCTGGATTCAATTCCAGTTTCACTGCTAACTAGCTATGTGGCTTCAGTCGACTTGCGTAACTTTTCGGTGCCTCTACTTCTTTATCTTCAAATGGAGATAAAGTCGCTAAACCAAAAACCAAACAGTTGCTGTTGACTCTGACTCATGACGACCCCGTGCGTTACAGAGTAGAACTACTCCAGAGGGTTTTCAGTGGCTGTAATCTTATGGAAGCAGATGGCCAGGCTTTTCTTCCGCAGCTCTGCGGGGTGGCTTCGAACTGCCAACCTTCTGTTTAGTAGCTGATGGCAAACCAAAGCCCTGGCTAAACCAAACAAAAAACCCATTGCCATCGGAGTGGATTCTGACCCACAGTACCCTGTAAATTCTCGAGAACTTGAGATACCATTATTAGTGATAATCTCGTCATCATCATCATCCCGGGTACTTTTTCAAGCCCTATTTGTGCCTCACCCTAGGTGACCCTTTCAGTCAGCCCAAGAGTTAGTAAGAGGGGACATTACTGTCCTCATTTGTCTGAGGATTAAAAAGATACAAAGATCTGCAGCCTCCTCAAAATAAGTCTTACCCATGTCTGTGTCAAAACAAGAACCCAGGCCCCCTGAGGCCTAATTTAATTATGTTGTCTTACCTCTACCCGCCCCCCTCAGAGCCCCTAAATGGGCCATTTTTCCTGTCATTCAGCCTTTGCTTCCGCAGCAGCATTCACTTTGCTGTACCTGGGATTCTGGTGGGTAAAAGCAAATAAAATTTCATTGTTGCAACCCGAGGGAGCAGCACGTGGCAAAGAGACATTAATAGTTTTTCCAGTTGTTAGTTCTAAAGATAAATTCCATAGGTTTGGGGAAATCATTCCATATTATCTGGCGGATAATTCCTCATTTTGTGTACCTGACTTTAGTTACCTGGCAGCAAAAGGGTTCCACCGGAGACGCGTGGCCCCTGACAGCGGCTACGCTGATTGGTAATTACTGTCAGCGGATCGGTGGTGCAGCCCCACGTCTGGGCCTCTGCTCACACTGCAGTTACTCCATGTGCGCGTGATACTGCTAGTGTGGTGGGAGGCAGTGTGCTGTCTTTAGTAGAGAAGATCATCTCTTGCAGTCTTCTTCACATTACTAATTTTGCTTCATAACAGCCCCCTCGTTCACAGAAAGTATAAACATAAACTGTAGTGATTTGAAATCTGTAAGTCTTTGGGCAAGGTGAAATCAGAATTAATGGGGTTTTATTTACTCTGACAGATCTCCTCAGAAGTCTTCATATTTTTTTAAGTGGGTTCAAATCCCAAACTAGTCAATAAATTCAAA